ATTCCACAAGGGTGCCAAGACCAATCAATAGAGAAAAATATAATTTCTTCAGTAAATGATGCCAGAGCAATGGAATATTACATAAAAATAACAATGTTGGGCACTACCTCACACGATATACAAAAATGAATTGTAGATGGATCAATGATTTCACGCTAAGCACAAAAACAATAAAAAGTATAGAAGACAAAGCAGTAGATCTCTATGGGTTGGATTTGGCAAAGGTTCCATAATAAAGCTTTTTTTAAAGTAAAATGACAAATATTGTCAAGCATATGAAGCAACTGGAGCCCTTGTCCATTCCTGGTTGGAATGTAAAACAGTGCAGTCTTTTGGAAAACAGTTTGTGTATTCCTAAAAAAATGTTAAATATATAATTACCATATAAGCCAGCAATTCCACTCAGGTGTATACCCCAAAGAATTGATAACAGGTATTCAAAGGAATGACATGAACATGCGTGTTCATTGCAGCACTACTCAAAATAGCCCAAAGGTGTAAATGACTCCAAACCCCTCAATGGATGAATGGATAAACAAATTATGATTTCTACAGTTGGTGAAATATTCTGAAACCCTAAAAATGAAGTACGGATGCATTCAGTAATATGGACGAACCTCAAAAACATTATGCTCATTGAAAACAGCTAGATATAAAGGCACATATTGTATAATTCCATTTATATGAAATACCTAGAATACAGAAATCTTGAGAGACAGAAAGTAGATGGGTAGTTTACGAGGTCTTGGGGGCAGAGTGGGGTGGGCAATGGTTACGGGGTTTGGGTTTGGGTTGATGAAAACATTTTGAATTTTAAAGAGGTAGTGGTTGCACAGTATTGCAAATGTACTAAAGATCACAAAATCCGTGAATTGTCTAGTTTTATGTTACGTGAATTTTACCTTAAGAAAAAGAAAATTAAAACTATTCAACAAAAGATTTGTAGGTTTCAAGATACCCAAACCTAGAGAACAAAGCATATAATTTTTTACTAAAGTCGTCGTAGTAAAGAAAGGGTGCAGAATATGGTGAGGGCCATTTCCTGCCTCTCAGGAAAAAGCGAAACCCTTGCGGGGCAGGAAAGGAACCCGAGTGGCATAGTGGTTATGCTATGGGCTGCTAAACTCAAGGTCAAGAGTTCGAAACCACCAGCTATGGAGGGAAAAAGATGGAGCTTTCTGCTCCCTATGACTCGCGGGCAGTCAGTTTGGCTGTTGGCTTTGGGGCAGAAGGAGAAGCCTGGCGAGAGGAGAAGGCAGGCGTTAGAGACTTTCACACACGCATAGGGCCTGCTCTGCGGTCTTCCCTGAGAGCTGGCAATAAGGACTTGGTTCCTCTCTTTGGGAAGCATCTGAACACAACCAGAAGCTCCTGAGAAATGAGGGTGGAAAGAGTGGACCCGTCCTCTAGTGTCCTTTGGATATGTTCTTAGGAGGGACCAGTCCCTGGACTTTCCTCGGGAATTCAATCCTGAACTACTTCTTGCAACCTCTCCCATTTCCTTCCTTGATTCTAAAGTACATCTTGTCTTGCATTTCTAATTATTTTCTTTTGAGGTTCTCTCTCTCGCCCCTGCCCCCCTCCTCCGGGCTTCCTTGTTTTCTAAGGAGCTCTGGTAGTGCTGTGGGTTAAGCACTGGGCTTCTCACAGAATGATTAGTGGTTTGCAACCAGCCAGCACTCACTGGCGAAGCACATGGCAGTCTGCTTCCATAAGCTTGAGGCTTGGATAGTCTCTGCAGCGCGTCTACTCTGTCCGCCAGGGTCCTGGTGAATGGAGTTGACTGGACTACACTGGGTTTCATCTCATTATTTCTTTACTTCTTTTTCTGTCCACACCTTGTGTGCTCATGTTTCCCTTTTCCAGTTTTGGTCTTTTTTCTTTTCTACACCCCCCCGTAGATGATACTATCTGATCTCACAGGCTTTCACGTCAGGGTCTCTACCTGTCTCCTCTCCTCTGAAACCTAGACCCAGATTCCTTACTGCCTACTTGCAGCTGGAGCTGGCTAGCATACAAACTCTTCAAGCACAGCAAAAGCAAGTCCTGATTTCCATTCTTCAGAAACCTGTGTCCTCTCCTCTGCTGTTTCAGGTGTCTGCTAAATGTGCCACCACCACAACCTTGGTCGTAAAATGTCCAGGAGTAGCGGAGACTACTGTGTCTCCCTGCTCCATATCACAACATTCCCCCCATCTAACCTCAGTGTATTAATAGTCACAAGATTAGGTCCAACTATCTAGAGAAAAATGATAATATGAAAAGAGCATGAGACGTGGTAACCGTTAAAAGCAACTACATCTAAAGCAGAATTCTTTAGATGTTCATAACTACGTAAAAGGCTTGGCGCTTTCATTCTGATGCAACCCCCCAAACCAGATCTCAACTGCATCCCAGGGACAGCCCCTACTACCAAGTTAGGTTCGGGATCCTTCTACTCTTTGCTCTTGCATTTTATCCTGCGATGCCTACACACCACAACCTGCTACATCTGTTATTATCGTTGAGTGACTTCATGTCGATTCTGACTCGTGGTGAGTGATTCGTGTGATGGAGTAGAACTGCCTTGTGGGAACCAATTGTCAAGTCTTTCTCCCACGAAGCAGGTGGGTGAGTTAGCAGCCAAGTGCTTAAATGCACTGTCACTAGGGCTCCTTGTTGAATGTACTGCTTAAAGATTTTTAAACTGCCCTGTTGCCTTTTTGCACGGTTGTTTTCAAGGATTCTATGGGCAAAACATTGAATGATGCAGGAAGCATCAAAAGACAATGGAAGGAATACACCGAGTCACTGCACCAAAAAGAACGCGTCAGCATTATACCCTTTCTAGAGGCAGCATAAGATAAAGAACCAATGGTACTGAAGGAAGAAGTTCAAGTTGTACTGAAAGCATTAGCAAAAATTAAGGCTCCAGGAGTTGACATAATAGCAATGGAAATGTTTCAACAATCTGATGCAGCACTGGAAACATCAATTAGTTTATGCAAACAAAAAAAATGGAAAGTCAACTAATTGGCAGAGAACCATCTTTGTGGGAGTCCAAAAGAGGTGATAATATTGTCAAATTAATATCATTAACATCACACACAAGTAAAATATCTTTGAGGAAGATATTTTAAAAATTGTTGCCAACTGTAATCCACAGAGATCTGCCAGAACTTCAAGCCAGACTCAGAAGAGGACATGAATGAGGAATGTCATTGTTGACATCAGATGGATCCTGATGAACAGTAGAGAGGGCCAGAAAGATGTTTACCTGTGCCTTATTGATTACGCAAAGGTATTCAACTGTGTGGATCGTAACAAATGATGGAAAACCTGGCCAAGAATGGGATTTCCGGAAGACTTCCTTTTATTCAAGGAGAACCTGCACATACCCAGAGGCAGATGCTCTCAGAGAACACGGGAAAACCATATGGCATTCAATCAGGAAAGGTCTATGCCAGGGTTGTATGCTTATCACTACTCTTTATGCTGAAAACATAATCACAAGACGTTGAACTCGGTAAAGAAGAAGGCGACCTTGTGGGCTGAAAGTGCGAAGGACTTAAAGTACTTGCTGATGAAAAGAAAAGTCTCTAGCCTTTAGTATGGATTGCAACTCCTATAAAGAGAACGAAATGACAGCTAGACTATTAGACAGCCTCATGAGAAATGGAGAAAGGAGTATAGGGTTGCTAAGAATCTCATTTTCCTTGGATTCAAAATGAACATGCATGGAAGCAGCAGTCATGAAATACATGACACATTGCATTGGGAAAATCTGTTACAGAAGACCTCTTTGAAGTGTCACCAAGCAAAGCTATCCCCTTGAGAACTCAGTCTCCTTGTATCCTGCCGAAGCTGGACAATGAGTAAGGAACACCCAAGGAGAACGGATGCACTTGAAGTGTGGCTTGGGGAAAGAGTGTTAACCATACCACAGCCTACAGAGGAAGGAGCAATGCTCTCTTGTCTTGAAGTCCACCCAGAAGGCTCCTTATAAATGAGGCTGGAAAGATTTGAAACTTTCTCTAGTGTCCTTTGCACATGTTATTAGGAGGGACCGGGTCCTGGAAAATGACAAATCATCCTTAGTATAGGGACAGCTAAAAAGAGGAGCAGGGTGGAGGAGATGAATGGCACAGTGGCTGAAACATACCAATGATCGCAAAGATGGCGCAGGCGCAGGCAGTGGCTCATTCTGTTGGATGTGGGGCTGGCATGAGTCAGAACGGACTCAACAGGACAAAACAACAACCCACTCTCAGACCTACTGGTTCAGAATTATCCAGAGGTGAGACCCTGGAGATTCTGATAGAACCTGAAGTTAACCAGTTCGTAGACAGAGGACAGCGTCCAAGCAGGCTATAGCTCCACAGACTATGTTACTCCTGCTTACACTTGTTTTCCATCAGCCGCTCCAATCATAGGACGACATCCTGCTGTTAGCTCTTTCTCTACCATAACCCCAGTCCCACCCCCTTCATCTCCCAGTACATCCTCTGGAATCTCTCTGCCAAGCGATTCTTTCTCCTTCCACCTTTGTGAAACTGCCCTCTCCTTTACATCCCCCAATGCTTCAATGTCTACTCCCATTATGACATGCAGCTCCTTTAGCTTGGATAACGTATAAATGCACACAACCCACTCTGGCGTGCTGGTTTGAGCTCTGTGCAATAAGCCTCAAGCAAGCGACAGGCATGGAGATACAGAAACAGGCAGCCTCTGAGGAGTTAACATCCCAGCAATCAAACTTTTCCCCTCAACGCGTCTTGTTGTCCTCTGCTTGTCATTACAGTTCTGACTGAGTGACCAGGCAGTTTCTCTTCAAAAGGACCACACCACAATAACCAGAAAAGGCAAGGCTGCTGGTTAGTCACCGAGTTTATTTCCACTTTAGACCCTGGAGAGGAGGAATGGCGTAGAGGCGCCCGACAGAGCAGCGAAGCAGTGATACAATGTGTGCAGAATACAGAAGCCCCTCCATGTGCCGTTCCCAGGCAGTGGAGTGTGCACTGGTGAGCCAACTGGAAGCGTGGACGTTTCCCGATGGTTTTCTTGGAATCCCTCCTCGAGGACTCTCTGGCGGAGTTTTTTCTACGATAAAGAATCCTAGATGCAAGGAAGAGGACGATAATCAGTCCTGTGAAAGCCCGGGAGAAGCTTCCAGGAAAACATGGAATGACGGAGTTCGAAAAATGCCTACTTTTTACAGGTGGGGAAACCGAGACCCAGAGTGGCAAAGTCCAAAGTTACACAACCACTAGGGGCAGTGCCAGGCCGGGGGGTGGGGGTGGGGTGTCACAACCCAAGACTGTGGCCTCTTTGCCTCTTTTCATTGCCTTTCACTTTTGGATCTCTGCTTCCATGAACTTGGGTCCCTGGATCCTTCTGAACTTCGGTGCTGGTGGGTTTCCTGCAGAGCTCAGGTGGGGTCTTGGTGTCTCCCAATGTCCTCAACCGCTTTCCTGCCTAGACGCCCACCAGCGCTCAGGGTGGGCGTTCTCCGGTGCAGTCTGGCCATGTCCCACATCTGGGCTGCCGTAGCCTATTCAGGGAACACATTTCGAGGCAAGACTGACAGATCCTTGTCTGAGGCCACTGGGGTTGGTTTCTCAGGCTGTCAGCTTGTAGTTGAGAATGGCATATGGTCTCTAATGACATGTTCTGAATTGACAGCAGGAATTGAAGGGGGTGGGAAACTTTTCGCCACTATTCCCAGTTTCTCCAAGTCTTCTCGGATTTCTTGGTCCTTTGAAATGTCTTCAATGAAGAAAGTCTTTTGGAGAGAACCCCACATTCGAAGGCATTAAACTAGAGGGTATGCCCCCCCACCTTTCTTAACACCTGACCAGTATTCTCTTAGAGGGAGTGCTAGATGATGGGAGTTCACAGAGCAGAGCTAAGAAAATACGGACACAAGAGTTTAGTTTAACGTGAGGACACATTTGATAATACTCAGGTTCAATTCTCAGTTATATCAATAGCGGGACCAAAGGGTTTGCTCAGCGACAAGGAGTGAGTCAAAGCCACTGAGATCAAGTGTGGCCCAGAGAGGAGTGCTGGAGCTGGGTCCAAGGTCAACCAGGCATCCCTGTGCTGGCGGGGAGAGGAGGGCCCAGCGAGGGACTTGCCCAGGGTCCTACAGCCAGGCCTCTTGTGCAGAGCCTTTCTCCTATCCCACACTGCTGCCTCTCAGGGGCCCCGGGGCCATATTTGGAAGATCCAAGCCCTGTGGGGCCAGTTTGCTCCATTCCCTTTATGCTGGCAAATAACCTGGAGTGCACTATCTGGAGGGTGGGATGCAGCCTCACTTGGGGCTGGGGCAGGGCAGGCTGGCCCTGTGGACAGAAGTAGCTCACCGCTCCACCTGGAGCTCCCTAAGACCCTGCTGGGAGCCCATCTGCTCCCACACCCAGTCCACATAGTTGGAGACTTTGGTGTAGACCCCATAGACCTGCTTGCTGCCACATTCTTCAGGACCCCCCCAGGACACCAGACCTTGGGCCACCCAGTGCTGGGTTAAGTCATCAAGGATGACAAAGGCCCCACCGCTATCCCCAAGGCACGTGTCCTTGCCACCCTCGTAGTAACCCGCACAGAACATGTTCTCTGTGACGCTGTAGTTGCCGGAGCGGGACTCGTAGCTGGTTTTGCATTCGGCGTGTGGCACCACGGGTAACTTGACATACTGCAGGACATCTGACAGAGTTCGTGTGCCACTGCTGATGATCTCATCTACTGTCACATTAGGATTGGAGATGCCCCAGCCAGCCACCAGACCCAGCATGTGGGGTGCTGGGCCCTCCGGCTCAGGCCTTGGCAGGCAGATAGGCATGACGTGAGGCCCTAGGGGCACAGACTCCTGCAACTGCACCAGGGCAATGTCATGGTTGTAGTTCTGGATGTTGAAGTCTGGGTGGAGCACGACCCGGGCCGCTGAGCTGTTGACCGCCCCCGACTTGTCCCGCACGTCATGCAGGCCCAAGTAGACAGTGATGTGCTCCTTGGAGACTGGGGTCACAGTGTTGTCCCTGCGCTGGGAGCGCAGGACGTGGGCTGCTGTTAGGATCCAGGACTCAGACAGCAGGGCCCCACTGCCAAACCACTTGTCGTTTGGCACCCGGGAGGTGTCCTCCACCACTATCAGAGCCTGCCATGGGAAGAGTCCAGGCTCTGCGTTCCGGCCTCCAATGATCCGCTTGACCAGGCTTGGCAGGGAACGGGAGGGCTGACCGCATGCTGTAAGGAGAAGGAAGGGTGGGGAGGAGAGACATAGACTGGTCAGGTCAGCCACAGGAAAGCAGGCACTATGGGAAATTCATGTCTCAGTCACTATAGATTATGCCACCATGAGTTACGACTCTGTCTGGGGTCATCTTTAGTGTAAGTCTCTCTTAGGCTAGGCTGGCCCATCTGTAGCTGGCCCATCCAGGGGCCCGACCATTTCAGTATTGGGACTTTTCCATCCTGACCCATCTGTTCTGGACCATTTGGGGACTGGACCAATTTCAGCTAGGCCAATCTCCAGTTGTAAGGAGCCCTGACGGTGCTGTGGGTTGTCCACTGGGCTGCTAGCTGGAAGGTTGGCCTTTCAAACCCACCAGCTGCCCTGTGAGAGAAAGAGGAGGCTGGCTGCTCCGGTAAAGAGTCAGAGTCTCAGAAACGTCTGTGGGGTCTCTGGGCATCAGAGCAGACTGGATGGCCGTGAGCTGTGTCTCATTGCATCCTTTCTCCCCTTCCTTTCCTAGAAAGACCCTAGGAAAGGGTCCTCAGGTCCTAGCAGTGGTCCATTTTGTGGACACTTAGAAAATGTCTAAACATGATAGAAGACGGAATTTGAGAGCTGGAAAGACCTCAAAGCAGGCAGGTCAAAGCAAACACTGGACCGGGAGCTGAGACCCCTGATGCCTTGAGCCGCCTTTTCTTTCCTATTTCCTGTCTGACTCTGAGCGACTCACTTTTCCTCTCTGGATCGCAAGTTTCTCCCACGCTCCTTCAACTTCCACAGTCCTTGGATTTTTGTTGTTCTACTTTGTACAGTTTCTTTGAGGGACAACTGTGCTGCTAAAAAGGTTTTTTATGGTGAATGGAAAAGGAACTCTTCCAGAACAAACCACTCATGGTCCGGGTTCCGCTCTCTTAGGGCCTTCAGAACAGATTCACCCCCTTCATGACACGGGACACTCCTGTTTCCTTCTTTGAAAATTAAAATGCTTTCTTTTTCCCTCCATTTTTTTCTGGCTTCCATTTCAGAGGTGATGATAATCCTCCGGAGGTTAAGCCTCTGGAGGTCACATGGCCAGCAGACTGAGTTCTAAGCAAAAACAGCAGACAGCGGCCATGATGTCCCTGCTAACTCATGACAGCCTCCTAAGCATCAGGGTAGAACTGTGCTCTGTGAGCTGTTCGATGACTGCTTTTGCCCAAGTAGATCATGGGGAGTCTTCCTTTGGGTGGATTTGAACCACCAAACTTTTAGCTGAAGCCTAGAATATTAACTGTAACACCCAGGGACTTTGATAGGTTACATTGCAGGAACTCCACCAGATCCTAAGACTAATGTCTTGTCTAGTCTTATATCCCGTGCGCTAAGGACATGGTCGTGGTCATGGGCCCTTAAACCTTTTCTGGCCCAAAGGGATTCGTGAATTGGTAACTCTTGGTCACGGTAGGGTTAAGGCCCACAGTGTATTGAAGGCTGGTGAAAGGTGGCATAATCTAAGAGCAATGATGCATGGGCCCTGCTGTGGGCCACCCATCATTGCACCCAGGAGCTTTGCTGTACCTTCAGGGGAGGGAGAAAACTTCATTCCACCGAGTTGCACCCCAACATGCACATGCACCACCAGCCTTCTGCAGCCAAATGCCTCTGGCTCAGGAGTGGAGGGTCTTCTGCACCAGCACCCATTGGCTAAGAATAAGCTCTCAGGAACCCTGGCCAGGCAGGGTGCTTGGATCTGGGAGATAAGCCTGGTGTGCATGTGGGCCTCTTCCTGGTTGCAATGGGCTAGACTCGTTGGCCCTTAGTGTTCTCAACAATTCTCTGAAGACCAAAGGGCATTTGAATTTTCTTGGTAAGTTGGATTTTCAGTCACTTAATGCCTTTCAGATGTTCTTCTTTCTGATGCCAGATGCCTCTTATGTGATTCTGCGGCTCCCTGTCATTTGCCTCTGGCCACATGTGAGCTGGGGTTCGCTAAATCTCCATGACCCGCCCTTTCAGAGTTGAGAGCTGGCCTGACTTCCCAATTACAAGCGGTGGTCTACAAGGCAACATCTCCAGGAAGAACTGTGGCTGGTTCTCATGACAACGCATTCACTGCCGATAGGCTCCCGTGGTGAGGAGCACACCTGTGGCCCCCATCCATGGTGTGATGAAGCCAGTGCTGAACGGTGCCTTCCTGTAAGCACAGCCCTGAGAACACCCCCCCCCCCATCACACCCTGTCAGAGCGAGGGGGAACCTGGGAGAACGGACTCTTCACAGATAGAGAAACAGGTTCATCGAAGGCAAGTGATTTACTCAAAATCGTTATTGGCAGAGTCAGAAATGGAGCTCATTCTTGAGACTCTATCCTTAACTTTCTTCACTAACATTCCTGATGTACTTGTGTCATTTTATGGGGTTGAGTCATGCAACTAACCTTTACGAGCGCTCATTTAAACGACCAAATCCTTGACCACTGCCAATCCGACCCACTGTTTCCTGGGATAAAGAAATCTTCCAGAAATGTTATAGCTTTGTTCATGTTGAAGTCAGGTTTGGGCTCTAGAATATAAGGGGATGCCGAGGGGGAACCCTTAGAATAAAAATATGATAGCCAAGATAATGGGTTCCTGAGCATAGTGTCAAGCATGTGCAGAGTCAAGGAATGGCTCTCCTAGCATTTGAAATAAGTGGCTCAACATGACTCCTGCTGAAATAAAAGGTCTTGTGTTCACTTTCCTGCTCTGCTTCCAACTTCCTGGAGTATTTTCCTTGGGAAAATCACTATGCCTCCCCAATCTGCAGCTTTCACCTCTGTAAAATAAGGGAGCAAATACTATTTGCTTAAAAGGTCCCTTGGGAGGGCGGGCATTATGATACTAGATGAAAAGAATCTTCCCATCACGGCTCGTGCCCAGTTTTATTCCCGGTATTCAGGAAGAGAGGATTTAGAAATCTCTGGCTGGCCTCTACCATGCACAATAAATTTCACGACTTATTGTATCTAAAATGCTTTATACACACAGACAGGATGGTGGTCGCTGAGTCATAAAATACCGTGGGTCACCTTAGGCTGCTCGCTCATTTCTGAGGTGTGGCATCTGGGTCCTGGACAGGTGAGACTTCTTATACAAGAGGGTAGCAAGGACACGGCAACAGCAGGAATAGGCCCGACTGCTGCCTCCCCTGTTGGAAGTCACACTATTTCTGACCTTAATGATATCCACCTACAACACTGTTTTCTTTTTTTATCCCATATAGGGTTTCAGCAAAATGGAAACTTGAATAATCTGCTGGAGAAATAGGAGGCTGTCAGCTGATCTGCTCACAGGTAGATTGGCTGGCTTTTCTTCTATAGGACCCATGGAGGTGCTTGAACCTACAAACGTTTCCTTCGTTGTGGAACTTTGTAACTCCGGGCACCATCCAGGGACTCCTCACCTCACTGGCTTCCTCCTTTGTGGAATTCCATAGCACCCTGGGGGATCAAGAACTTGCTCCCAAATGCTAAGATTTTTTCCCACAGTTTTAATGATTTCTGTTTTACAACTCATAGTCTTCCATTTCCATGTCTACACCCACCAATTGAAGTCTTCTGAGTGGATTATCAAAGGTTGCTAAAACCTACCATTAAAATAACACATTATCTCAGTTCAGTCTTAGTTTAGTGAAGTAGACACGCCGCCACTCATCACTCATTACATAAGCATTGTGCAAAGTGCCCGCTGTCTGTGCACACGTGCCGACAGAATCAGGATGCACACTTAGTTATTTGTGCTCCTCAATGTTGCCTTCGACAAGCATACCTTTTAATCAATACGATGCTTATCAAAACAAACCCTGGAAATTATTGTGCTGTGAATATTAGATATTGATTGTGTGGGTCATTGTTTAATGCGAGATGGACATTTGGAGGGGATACGTTTTCATGGGTAGCTGTGGATCTATGTATGCATTGTAATTGCATTATAAATCATTCAGACTCTAAAACACGAAAGCAGACATGCACAAAAGCTCCCCAGAGCCCATTTACACAGTGACACTTCCTGTTACCACACAATTCTCTTTCTGTCTTAAAGTGGGACCAGTAAGTGAGCTACAGAGAAGAATGTACTTCAAAGGACATGAACACATTGCTTTTTGAAATGTGTTATTCTGTCTTATTATGCTGTTTGATTAAAGCTCATTATGCTGTATGCGGCTTATCTCCCAGGTAGCTTGGAGAGCACCCAAGCACAGGATGGCTACTTTCTTGATTTTCCTGGCACACAAGCAGTGCACATGCAAGCTGTGTTGGATGAAAAACCTGGGGGCGGGGTGGGGGGGGTACGGGAAGCTGGGAGGGAGCAGAGCTGGAAAGGAAGGGGTCGGGAGGCTCCGCGGCTTGTTAAAACAGGCTGAAAATAGAGGCTGGTTGGTCTGAGAAGGTGAGAGACTGGGCTTCTCTGACTAGTAACATCACCTGAAAACATCTCCCCAAAGACAACCAAAGCAGCCTGTATTCCCTGCACCCCGTTAACAGGCAGAGAATCTGCGGCCCTAGGGCCTTGGATGGGAGACTTTGAAACGTAGGACTTGGAGAGAGGTACCTGGCAGGCAGGTGGGCAGCTTTCTCCCCAGTATTTTGTTCATCCAGATGCCTTGAGCAGAACAGGTGTATATGCCTAGGAGAGTGGGAGGGGTGTAGAAAGAGAAAGAAAATCGTTGATTTTTAGCACCTGGGAAAAGCAAAGCTGAGTGACAATTCCTCTGTTGTGACTCATTGCAACATTCCAAGCAGCCTCTCTGAGCCACAGCAGCTGGCACGGTCTTTCCAAGATGGGAATCTGACCACAACCCTCGCTTATAAAACCTCCGATGCCTCCTTGTGGATCCTCAGATATAAATGAAACTCGTTAGCATGATGCCCACGGTTCCCTGAACAACACTGTCCACCCAAGGACTGCTCCCGTTACCACTCACACTGCCCCGCCCCCCCAGGCCTCTGTGTGGCACATGCCCCCCCCACGCCCCCCCCCAATGAACAAACACCAGATAAACTACCTCCATGTTCTCTACCTCTGTCCACATTTTTTGAGAAGTCAGGCATTGGGAATTATAATTTCCAATGGGGTTGTTCACCACAAGGTCAGCAGTTCGAAAGCCCCAGCTGCTTGGTGGGAGAAAGATGAGGCTTTCTACTCTGAGAGAATTATAGTCCTGAGCATTTTAAAGTCCATTAGGGTAGAGGTAGTTAGGTTAAAAGTTAGTACCTTATCATTTGGGCCTCTTTTGGACTCATTTTAAAGTTGTTTCAGTTAAAATAAAAAGTGAAGGGGAAATTCACATGGAAGAAGCCTCTGGTGACTCCCCTCTGACCAGAGACCAGGATGTGAATAACCTGGCTCTCACACAGAATGCACTAGAAAGTGGATTGTGGATTGGACGTGCAGACGCAGTGAGGTGAACATTTAACACCTTAGCATATGGTCTCCCTTTTGATCCATTTAAAATTGTTCTAGTTTTTAATATTTTCTTGGGTTTTTTTTCTATTGAGTTTTTTTTATCTGTTTTACTTTGTTTCTGTTGCTAGCTTTTTGTTTTTTAAACAAGTTTTTCTGTATATGAAATCCAGGGTCGGAAAATCTATAGAATCAGTAACTGGATTACTGGTTCCTTGGGGGTATGGCAGGGGAGAGAAGGGGGAAATAGGGAGTTAATAACGATGAGTACAAGAACAAAGAAAATGGTCTAAAATTGTGGTGGTTATTGTACACCTCTTCTTGATGTTATTGAACTATTGAATTGCATGCGATGTGAATTGTATGCCAATACAACTGTTAAAAAAAGAAAAAGAATTACAGTCTCAGAACCCCACGGGGTGGCTCTACTCTGGTGTAAAGGGTCACTGTGAGTCGAATTGATCCCACGGCAGGCATGAGTGGGTAGTAATGCGGGAGAAGCAGAACTGCCGGGTCTTCTCATCTTCCTGAAGTCCTGCAGCCATGCTCTTCTCCGACATGGATGAGTGAATGATGAGTGAGTGCCGGGTGCTGTTTGGCCTAACTCTTGGGGGTTGAGGGTGGGTTGAAGGCAGGGAGAGGTGGGGCAAGTGTTTCTTCTTCCAAACCCTTCCAGACTTCCACTGTTGAGACCAATAGACTGCCTATTAGTGGTCCTTTGCCCTCCGGCCCTTGTGCTGCTGTCCAGCCCTTAGGATGGCCAAGGGTCCCCTGCACGGTTGGGTGGACGAGGCCTGGACAAGGGTAGCTACAGCTTTGCTGGAGGATGGCTCAGGGGATTTGCCGGCTAACCTGAGTTGTGGCTCTGCCCCTCACGGCACTCTACCCCACTGTGGCCCCTGTGCATATCAGGGAACACGTCTGGGAGGGAAGGCGGTCACCAGGCCTGCGCATGAGTCTGGTCTGATTAGATGCTGCTTGGACCAGAGGCTCAAGCAGAGGCTGATGAGGCAGCGATGCTGAGCTTTTCCTCTGGGTCCCCAGATCCGCCTCGGGCAACATGGCATTGTCTCGGGAGATCCCCAGTGTCCTTCAGAGTTCTTACATATTCTCTTGGTTGTGTCTGTACACAGCCCCTTTATATCTCCAACAAGGTCTAGACCAGCGGTTCTCAGCCCTTTGGGGGTCAAACCACCCTTTCCCAGGGGTCGCCCAATTTATAGCAGTAGCAAAATGACAGTTATGAAGTAGCAAATAAAAAATAATTTTATGGTTGGGGGCGGTCACCACCACATGAGGAACAGTATGAAAGGGTCGCGGCATGAGGAAAGTTGAGAAGCACTGGTCTGGACTCATGGGTTAAATCTATACAAGATTCAAATTTAAAAAGGAAAAGGGAAAAACCCCAACGCCTGAGTGCGGGCTCAGTTTCTGCATCTCGAAATAGGCACAATCACACACCCTCCTGGGTAGTGGGGCCAATTATTCCTTCCACAGTGGTTTCAGACTTGAGCTGAATCTGGGAGCATGGAGAGCTCACCTGTGGCGTTGTGGAGCATCTTGTAGTAGGGCTGCTGGCAGGAATAGCGAATCTCAGACTTGTACGTGGTGAGGTTGCTACTGCTGCTGAAGGTGACCAGCCCGTGCTCCAGCTCCGCCGGCGCTCTGCAGTCTGCCACTGAAAGGAAAGAGGGTGAGGCCTCCGGATACACCCTGCACTTTCCCCCTACGGCCATCCGGTGGGTCTGGCTCGTGGGGATGGGTGGGTTATAAGCTTTCAGAACTCCAGATGGAAAGGAAGAAAAAGAACCCCAGACGTGCAGTGCACAACCTGTACAGCACAACCTGCTTTTGGGGACTCTCATGTCCACCGTGGTGCCACTTGTGTGGGCACTTCACCTGGCCTGATGTCACCTCTAGAGGTGGGGCAGGTCTGCTGGGATTTCAGCTGACCTCAATCTCTTCCCCCTGGGCCCCTTCCCTCAATGTCCAGTTGTACTATGCCATCCCCTCGACCTCTCTGCCCAACCTGGGAGCCCAAGGCTCAGGAAGAAAACTCTGACTGACCAAACCCCAGCCTCTTCCGTTCTCTGCTCAAACACGTGCGGAATAAGGCTGGTTACTGCACTTATCTTGACTTGGCCCAACAAAGCAAGAGAAAACACAAAACACCAACAGAAAAACCAGCGCTGGCAGGATTCCGTACCCCTGCCCGTTCGGCTCTCTGATGGCTGCTTCCTGGGCCTCGGAAGGGTGAGGCAGGGCTGGGGTGGATCAGTGTCTACTCCCTACCTGCTCAGTTTCTCCATTTATTGCTAGCTGGGCAGCTGGGTTGACTGGAGCTCACTGCAGACCACGGCCAAAGATGCCTGCTCCACGGAGGTGGTCTTAGGGGCACTCATGAGCAGAGGTCCTCAAACTACGGGCCCGCCGAGGACATCTGTCCAGCCTGCCGGGTGTTTTTGCCCACCCCCCTTCCCTTTTTACTTCAAAATAAGATACGTGCAGTGTGCATAGGAATTTGTTCATAGTTTTTTAAAAACGATATTGCAGCCCTACAATGGGTCTGAGGCACAGCAAACTGGTCCCCTGTTTAAAAAGTTTGAGGGCCCCTGCCTTAATGAATCCAGTGTGAACCACGGCAGAGGCTGAGCACACAACTTGTTAATCCCTCCTTAGGGGTCTCCTTTGGGGATGACATTCTCTCTCTCTTTTTTTCATTTGATTTTACTATTATTTGTCAAAGCGTCATTTGTATTTATTCAGCTCTCTGACCCTGGGCATGTGCTTTCCACACTTCCACTGCCAGGTTCTGCTCCTCAATAAGGAAAGCGCCCATCCTGCCTTGGACACGCTGAGCACACCTGGCACCACCGCAGGCCCGGCTGACATGCTTTTTGGGTTTTGGACAACCTCCTGAGAACGTTAGGTCTCACGGCACGGACCCCTCGAAGTCAGCCTGGGCACACGCCCCACGCAGTTTGGGTGCTTGGCCAACCTTCCTTGTATAAAAGTAAGCAATTCTATTACCAGGGGTTCAGGACCCTCTAGTTTTGTTCGAGGCTGTAACGTAGGACAGCCTACATCGCTCCATCAGACGCTGAACCACTTTGAATGCCGCTACACAGCATCCCCGGAAGAGCAGGATGGCATTCATTTTTAAGGAAATAGATGTAACAGCTTTTCCAGAGCCCAAGAATCAGAGAAACCCCAGAAGTTCACAGTGGGGAAAGACATGAAGGCAGGCAACATAGGATACTCTCTTTATAAATAGAGGGGAGCCCCGAGAGGGCACTGATGGGCCTACGACCACACAGCAGGTCACTCTCAGACGGAGAGCTAGAACTTGGGTTTACTGACCCATCTCAGTGTTTTTAGTCTACTGCCTGTTCTGAGAGATTGGTTTTCCAGTCCTGGAATTTCTCTGTGATTCTTTGACTCTGACATAGGATGTTAAATGGCTACTAAGTGAAAGGTCAATGGTTTGAACCCCAAGCTGCTTCACAGCAATCAGGTGGGGGCAGTCTGCTCCCATAAAGTTGTACCACCTTGGAAACCCCAGAGGCAGTCCTCCACGGGCTTCTATGAACTAGAATCAACTGCACGGCTATGCGCTTAGCTGTTAAAAGAAATCTACTCCACATTAGGGGTTAATGTTAGGGACGAGCTGCTGGCCGGCTGGGTTTAGAGGGTGGCGTCCTACAGCCCTGGTAGAATTCCCAGAGTCCCTCGTCCTCCAGACTGAAAACTTCTCATCCTGGGAAACAGAGAGGGACCATGCCTCTCTGAGATGCTATCCAGATATTGTGATTTTATGACCCCCAATTTTTGTGCTGGAAGAGAACTTACAACCTAGCTGTTTCCCAGCCCCTTCCAAGGAGAGGAGGGAATAGAGGATGGCAGGAGGGAACATTGGTACGTCTCTCCACAAGGAACACGCACGCTAGGAAATTGGCTAATGGTTTGCTCTGATCTCCATTCCCTCTGAACCAGACATTCTCATTTATTTTTATCACCCAGAAGTAAAAATACACATATTCTCTGTACAGTGAGTGGATGAGGGTCAACATTAAAGTAACAAGAAGTGATAATATTTATTATTTAAAACTGCAAACAGTTTTAGATTCATTTTCTTGCTGGTACTCAAAGCACGCTTTTTTCTCCTTTTTGAGGAAATGCTATTGATTAGCAGTTAACTATGGTTATTACTCTTAGCAAGACTGGCTCTAGTTTTCCTTAACTTTGTCTCAGCAGTTCATTCATCTAAAATATGCTCAAGATGTTACTACCTCATTCCTAGTGGAGAAATCCCAGGATTGGTTGTAGACATGGTTAGGCGGTCAGGGTACTAAGAGCCCGCTATGTCTCTGGCATTAGCCAGCAGTTGTTTTCTGGGCCAAGTGTCTGTTTACCCATCACTCTACAGAAAGAACTTTGCCCATGGAGGAGCTGATCCTACCACCATCCACAAACTAAACCAGACTAAACCATTTGCCATCAAATGGATTCCAAATCACAGTAATCTCATGTCTTTCAGAGCAGAACTGTGATCCACAGGGCTTCCTTCCAATGGCTGTAACCTTTGGGAAGTCGCCTGGTAGACCTTTCTTCCAAAGTACTTCCGGTTGAACTTGAACTGCCCACTATTTGGTTATCGAGAAGATAACTCTTTGGTTATAGAGAAGTAGGAATATGACATTGAATGAAGAAAGGATGGGATTTCTTCCATACAAAGGGGCATGGCTCCCTGAGACTGGGAGGCAATTTCCCTTTATAAGAGCCTGCTCAAAGAGCCTATATCCAGCTCCTGCCTCCTCCGTTTTGTGGCATAGTTTTAGGAAAGGCTCCATCCCCTTGACTGCTCTTTGTCGTTCCTGGGATAAGAATGGCTGTCTTTTTCTCATCACCGTGATCTCCCGCTCTCATGGTCTGCCATAAGATGCTCCGCCTCCTACTCTTTCCCACTGTCAATTCTTGCTGCCTTGTCTTTCCCTTCAGACCCACCTTCCTTGACCTGAGCAGGGCTTTGCCATAGTCTCGTAGGTTTCCTAGAGCCAGAGGCACAATCAGGTCCCAGGGAGCTGGGACGCAGCACCAACAGACACCACCTTCTTTCTCATTCTTGCCTGTGGCTTCCCCCTTCCAAGTCTTGGCTTTTCTAATCGCTGCTGCCTGGGATAAGCATTTTGCATTCTGCGGGCCTGTGCCAAACATTACTTCTCAAACATCGGTCTTCATTCTTCTCACTGGAGAGTGCGGCTTCCTTGTTCACCTTTCCTCATCCTTTAGTCTCTCGTTCCTGAGGACATGTCTCTCAGGACTGCTGGTACAAGGGGAAATTTAAAACGCTTGGGTAAAAATTGAATGAAAAGATAGTAGATCCCCTCACCTCCCATGAACTGTTTGAAGCCCCCTCATATAATTCTTTAGGTCCATGTCAAATCTTCTGTTCTAAATTTGGAGTCCCTCTACTGCACCTGGTACAAATATTTGCTCTGTTTTGTGGGACAAGTTATCAGACATCAAAGAACTAAAAATCATATCAGTGGGTGCCCACCTTCCTGATACGATCACTGAAGACAAACGTGTGCATAAGCAAATGTGGCAAAGAAAGCTGATGGTGCCCGGGTATCAAAAGATATAGCATCTGGGGTCTTGAAGGCTTAAAGATAAACAAGCGGCCAACTAGCTCAGAAGCAACAAAGCCCACATGGAAGAGGCACACCAGCCTGTGTGACCATGAGCTGTCAAAGGGATCAGGTATCAAGCATCAAAGAACAAAAAACCATATCACTGTAAATGTGGGTGAGTGCAGAGTGGAGACTTAAAGCCATGGGTAGGCAACTGGACACCCCCTTACTGAAGATTTGTGGGGAGGAGATGAGCCAGTCAGGGTGCAGGGTAGCAACCATAAAACATATAACTTTCCTCTAGTTCTTAAATGCTTCCTCCCCCACACTATCATGATCCCAATTCTACCTTACGAATCTGGCTACACCAGAGGATGTACATTGGTACAGATAGCAACTGGAAGTACAGGGAATCCAGGACAGATGACTCCTTCAGGACCAGTGGTGAGAGTGGCGATGCCTGGAGGGTGGAGGGAAGGTGTGGTAGAAAGGGGGAACCAACTGCAAGAATCTACGTATAGCCTCCTCCCTGGTGGGTGGACAGCAGAGAAAGGGCAGGGGAATTGTCAAACAGTGTAACATATGACAAAATAATAACCATTTGTGAATTATGAAGGGTTCATGAGGGAGAGGGAGGGGGGAGGGAGGGGGAAAAATGAGCAGCCGATATTAAGGACTCATGTGGAAGGCAAGTGTTTTGAGAATGATGATGGCAGCAAATATACATATGTGCTTGACACAATGGATGTATGTGTGGATTGTGATGGGAATTGTACAAGCCCCCAATAAAATGATTAAAATATATATATATATTTGACAGATCTTCAGTAGCTATGGTCTAAGATGGCAGGATTTTATTGCTATTTTTTTTTGCAGGGTTCTGCCTACAGGTGGACATTGAATTACCCCAAGGGGTGAGGCAGTCACAGCGTAGTGCAAGGCTCCTCTGGTATGTCTGTAGGTTTTGTTCGGGCTGAAGCACATTCCTGACACGATGGCCACTGTGTCACTATCTTTTCCACACTGCTAGTTCTGACCCTGTGAGGCCATTGGCAGCATGGCTTAGAACAATTGCTGTCAAGTGGGATGCCTTCACCTTTAATTTCTTTGTTTTTATTTCTGAATGTCTAGAAACAACAGACGTGTAACTTGGAGGAAAGACTCATGGGTGAATTTCAATCCCTGTGTTAGATGTGGGTGGAAGGGGCCCTTTGGAGCCTGAAAAGATGTCTGGGTCCTGCTGCATCCCCTTGCTACCTGCAAATTCTCTGAGTTATTAATTTTACCGACTCATGGATATTAGAAAAGAAGAACATATAGAAACCTTAAAAGTCAAAGTCAAAGGCATTCTGGCCTATGGAACCTTGCAGTGGGAAGTGGATTGGAAACCAGGGTCCACTTTGTTCTGGTCAGCCTAAGGCCACGTGATTGTGTATTAAAACCACAAGTCTCTGGGAACATAAGACGTTGTCTTTTGAGAAGAAGACGATTTACTCAGAAGTGCTTTAAAAAACTCTTTCCTGAACGTCTCCATCTTTTTCGGAGTAACATCTGTGTGAAGGGTAGACCCTCAGGTGGGGGATTTGCTCCCACACAGGCAGCTGCTTCATTTGCGCGGCACCATGTTGTCTTGTGAGCATCCATTCTAATCCACAGGGCATGGGGCTTGGGTTGTTTGCAGAGTGGGTTTGTGCGTGGGTGCCCGGGGCCCTGGAGGCTCCGTGAGTGGTCCCCTGCTGGATGTCTGCACTGTGCGGGGTCCAGTCAGTCATTCACTCTGTCACTTGCTCTGACTCGAGTTCTCTCTCCAAATCAATTTCAGTTCCTGCCACCGTGGTGAAGGTCAAAGAGGAATCAGGTGGCATAAAGGAAGAAAGCAGGGAGAGTCAGAGAGAGAGAGAGAGAGAGAGAGAAGAGAATGAGAAAAATTAGCAAGCAAAGCAGAAATAGTTCATGCAGAAATTGTTCCACCAGAATTGATTGAGAATGCATCAGTTGGAAGATACAGCCAGTTGCAAGGACAGGGTGGGATAGTGGGATTTGTGCCATGCTGAGTATTTGTGCAGCCGGACATCCTAGCTCATGAGAATGATCAATTGCTGCCTGTGGAGGGAAAGTTTTGCATTCATCTGGTCCATACCGTCGTTTGACATCAGATGGCACTGAGAGTGAGACAGGACTGGTTTGGGATTGGCACAATAAGGCAGAGGCAGAGCCAGAGCCAGAACTCAAATTCCCACCTCTCACTCCATTGGATTTTCCATTCCCTTATACTGTACACATCTTGTCTGTTCTCAACTGCCTTCTCTACAGTCTCAGAGATCTCTCAACTCCCCAGTCTTTTATTGAGCTTTTACTGTAACCCCTGTGCTCCATAGGTATACCGTTATGTAGTTAGCTCTCAATCAAATCTGAAAAGTAGAAAACAGCCTAAAAGGGGCTGAGCAAATTACTCAGGGACACTCAACTAGCAAAGTCTGGATTTGAACCTAGAACTTCCTACCTTCAATGTCACAGTCTGTCCACTGCACTCCATAACCTCATTTATTTTCTTCTTCCAAATGAATGACTCCTTTCATTGTCCTGTACAGTGCTTTGCTTAGACTCATTCATAGCACTACCATATCGCAGAATGTGGATGGTCTGCTGGCACTGGAGTTCCTTGACGTCTAAGACCTGTAGTCCCAATCTGCATTCCCATAGAACTCTAAACAAGCATCCCATAATTGTTTATGGAAAAGTTTTGCTAAAGGAAGGCAAACAAAGCCCTCTGTCCCTACATTGGGCTCACAGTCCAATCTCATCAGCACATTAAAATCTGCATTAAAGTTCTGCCTTGAATTTGCTTCAACTGCTTGAGAGTGTTTCCCTTGGGTAGATGATGTTGATCTCTCCCGACTGAATCCATAGATCCATAGAAGAAGGAGAAGGAGGGCACGACTCCAAAGTTCACACACAAAAGTCATAGGATAGACCCAACCCTAGTGTCTCACTCCTCCCTTCTCCATAAAGCAAATCCCCTCTCCCTTCCTGCCACCTTGTCTTTTCCTCCCTTCTTTCCTGCTTCCTTTTCTCGCTCCATCTTTCCCTCCGTTTCATTTTTCCCTGCCTTTCCTGTTATTATTCCCCTTTTTGACTGCTGCTGTAGACCATTTTCCAAAATTGGATTCCTTCCAAGTCTAGCATTACCATCGCTTGGGCATGTGTAGGGCTGGAACTTTGTGTTTTCACAAATGTATATGGATCATATGGACATATAGGCTATTTTGACAGACTCTAAAATTACATATGATTTATATGGACTGCAAGTTTTATCGATGCGTTGCCCTGGATAAATCTTCTGCACAAGACTGTTTTAGAGCGTTGCAAAGAAAGGCAGCTACTTTGAAAGTGGAGATGGCCCAAGCCATTGGATTTTCTTTCTTTCTTTTTTTGTGTTTGTGTGAGTGTGTATGTGTCTTTAATGTAATCATTTTATTGGGGGCTTGTACAACTCTTATCAGAATCCATCCATCCATCCATTATGTCAAGCACATTGGTTGCCACCATCATTCTCAAAACATTTTCTTTCTACTTGAGCCTTTGGTATCAGCTCCTCAAGCCACAGGCTTTTCAATGGCCTCATATGCAGGTGAAAACTGGACATTGAAGAAGGAAGACCAAATGGGAATCAACGTGTTTGAATGACAGTGTTGGCAAAGAGTATTGACGGTTCCATGGACTGCCAAAGGGACAAACACATCGTCTTGGAGGAAGGACAACCAGAATGCTGCTTAGAGGGAAGAGTGGTGAGATTTTTGTCTTACATTCTTTGGATTACATTGTCAGGAGAGACCAGTCCCCGGAGAAGGACATCATGCTAGGTAAAGTAGAGGGCAGCGAAAAAGAGGGAAGCCTTCAACGAGATAGATTGACATTGTGGCTATACCAATGAGTTCAAGTGTAAGAACAACCATGAGGATGACACAGTACCAGGCAGCGTTTCGTTCTGTTGTGCAGAGGGTCACCATGGGTCAGAATTGACTCAATGGTACCTAACAACAATGACAAGTTATAAAATTACTGGCATATACTATAGAGTATTAAAGCTAGCTCAAAGCTTTTATTTTTATCGTTGAGATGAAGAATCTTATCTGTGACCACAGAGAAGTTAGCAACAGAGCTGTGACAAGAACTCCAGGTTCCAAGACCCAGTACAAAGCTGTGTCTTCTGCCTCACACAGGTGCACAGGGGTGCCCCTATGGCCCTTCCTACCCAGGGTTAATCACGAGCTGTCCTAGAAGATTTAGTGGGTGAGGCTGTTGGTCCATAGAGAATGGCAAAATCACTCAGTTCCGGGAAAAATGGTTTCCTAAATTGGCAATTGCTGAAGCCAGTTTCAAACAGATTAGTATTCTAGTCCCTAAGCAAGTTTGACAAGCTGTGTTCAGAGAGAGATGGATTGGGAATTGAGAAAGTAAGCTGGGTTCCACAAGGACCTTCATTTGGAACCCTAAAGTCCTACTGAAAGGGCCATTGGGAGATTTTGGGGTGTGTGCGCGCGCGCACAGGCG